TGATAATTTGTAAGAAGAAAAAAAATAATTTATTCATTTTCTATTAAATAACTAAGTTAACCAATCACTTTCATCGAAATATAGTATTGAAAAACATTCTTTTATGTGATTTACAAATTTAAGCTAATTTAAGGAGTATTTTTTGAACTTGTAAATAAATAATAATAAATTTTTTTTTTTTGATAGAATTAGCACATTAATATAAAAGACAAGAATCTTTGACCATAAAAAACATCATATGTAATAATAAATAGCTTAAAACAGCGAATAATACATTAAAACTGTGTTTGATAACTTTGATTACATAAAAACCAAAGTTAATAATGAATTTGAATAAATTTCTAATGGAAGAATAGTTCTTATATTTCTAGGAAAATTTGATTAACAATTTCACACTTTCTATTAACATTTTATCATTAAGCAAGTTCTTTTAGACACCGAATATTATAAATTAATTAGAATAGAAAAATAAGGAAAAATTAGTTATCTATTAAATTTTCCTTTAATCTTATAATATAATTAACAAGATAATTTAATATAATAAAATCTATGTATTTCAAAAATATATGCTGAAAAAGCTTTTCAGAAAATGCAAAAATGCAAATTTCATTTAATTGTAGATGCAAATTAAATATTTGGATAGGATACAAGAGAGAAGGTAATTATTATTAGTTTTGATTCAGTTTTTCACTTTGGAAAATATTATTTTTAAGAAAATTCATTTTCATTGCTGATACCATCATAAGATAGATGGAATTTATGTAAAGTTACTAATGAAAATGAATATAATTCTAGAGTAGTTAATTATAATGAAGTTTTAAAGAATATCTTTTAAATTAATTCTTACACATCCCTAAAAATAATTTAACCAGATGATTTTTTGAATTATGGAAAAATGATGCATTACTTAAAAAAAAATTAAGATCTTTTAATATATTTATTTAATGGTCTATTAAGCAATTTTTAAAAGCAACTTTTGTTCTTATAATAAATGCCAATAATACTATGTCAAGATGACACCAATTAACAAGTTGAAAGATATTTAAAAGAATTAGAAAAAGATCTTTTGAATATTCAGAATCATAGTTTTGCTGACATGAAGAAAGTTTTTACATTTATAAATAAAATTAATAAAGGAAACATAGCATTAGAGTTAAATGAAAGAATTAAAAGAAAAAACAGCATATAAATGAAATAGTTCTTAATTGACAATAATATTTAAAATATAAATATTCAACCTATTTTTAATGATGAAATTGAAAATAAATTAAATTAAATCTTTGCTTTTTTTGACAAATATGATATAAGTTCATAAAAAATTAATAAAATTACAGAATTTAACAATTTGAAAATCAATCTTAAATTTTGGTGTGAAAATTGTGAATAATTAATAGAAAATATTCTTTATGAACTAAAATATATAGTAAAGAGAATACAAGAAGGACCGAAAAATAAAATTGAAAATGGAATCTATTTTATAGGAGTAACAAAATCAGGAAAATCTACAATAGTTAATTCAATTATTAATCCTAATAAACTTTAAAGTAAAAAAATTTTAGGTTAGAAATGTTACTTAATTTAACAAGGAATTTAAACCAAATTTAAAATTGATTAAGGAGAAATTAGTGAGACTTAAAAAATTAGTGGAATTTATACTGGTTAAAAGGAAGAGCTTACTCAATTCTTTAATAATTAAGGAAATAATGAATAAGAATAAGATGTTATAAGTTGTGAAGAATTAATAAATGTTGGATTCATTAATTAATTACCTTAAAATTTGTTTATTTTTGATTGCCCTGGTTTTGATGATAATAGAAATGAATTAATGAGAATTGCTCATAGAATAAGTTTGTATAATTATTTCCATTAAACTAAAAATATCATTGTTTTTTTTGTGATGGACATTTCAAATTAAAAATTTGAACATATTAAAAATACTTTTGATCCAATATGTTGTCTATTAAAGAATAAAGATGATATAGAATAAAAATTTAAGAGTTGGACGAATCTCATTTTAACAAAAGCCGAAATAAATTAAAGATAAGAATATTTAGACGATTGGGAAATAGCCTTTAGAGGATAATTAGAATAAAACTATAGCTTCTATAAAAAGCTATTTAAAGATGATGAAACTTGTTTAGAATTTCTAAAACCAGCATAAGATGTTAATTAAGATATTTTTAGACTAGCAAGATCTATTACTGAAAGAGTGTAGAAGTAACTTTAGTAAGTATAATGCAATCCTGACTTTGAACTTATCCTTGATGAAAAACTCTGGATGCTATATTTAAAATGTATGCCTAAAATACAGAAAAGATTAGAATAAATATTTCAATTATTTATTTCGTAAATAGATTAATACATTTTGAATAGTAATGAAGATCTAGAGATTATATAGGAATAAATTTAAAAACTTAAATATTGTTTACTTAATTAAGAATAAAATAAAATTATTCATGGATTGGATTTGAATAATTGTATATCTATACTTTAAAAGATATCATAATGGATCTAGGGTAATTAAAATATAAAAGAAATTTGTTTTTTACTTGATGCATATATCAATGATATATCGTCTATTTTTAAAATATCAGAATATTGCAAGAATACTTTGATATTGCAATTTGAAGTCAAAATAGATAAGTTAGTTAACAAGATTGAAACTATCCTNTGTGAAAATTGTGAATAATTAATAGAAAATATTCTTTATGAACTAAAATATATAGTAAAGAGAATACAAGAAGGACCGAAAAATAAAATTGAAAATGGAATCTATTTTATAGGAGTAACAAAATCAGGAAAATCTACAATAGTTAATTCAATTATTAATCCTAATAAACTTTAAAGTAAAAAAATTTTAGGTTAGAAATGTTACTTAATTTAACAAGGAATTTAAACCAAATTTAAAATTGATTAAGGAGAAATTAGTGAGACTTAAAAAATTAGTGGAATTTATACTGGTTAAAAGGAAGAGCTTACTCAATTCTTTAATAATTAAGGAAATAATGAATAAGAATAAGATGTTATAAGTTGTGAAGAATTAATAAATGTTGGATTCATTAATTAATTACCTTAAAATTTGTTTATTTTTGATTGCCCTGGTTTTGATGATAATAGAAATGAATTAATGAGAATTGCTCATAGAATAAGTTTGTATAATTATTTCCATTAAACTAAAAATATCATTGTTTTTTTTGTGATGGACATTTCAAATTAAAAATTTGAACATATTAAAAATACTTTTGATCCAATATGTTGTCTATTAAAGAATAAAGATGATATAGAATAAAAATTTAAGAGTTGGACGAATCTCATTTTAACAAAAGCCGAAATAAATTAAAGATAAGAATATTTAGACGATTGGGAAATAGCCTTTAGAGGATAATTAGAATAAAACTATAGCTTCTATAAAAAGCTATTTAAAGATGATGAAACTTGTTTAGAATTTCTAAAACCAGCATAAGATGTTAATTAAGATATTTTTAGACTAGCAAGATCTATTACTGAAAGAGTGTAGAAGTAACTTTAGTAAGTATAATGCAATCCTGACTTTGAACTTATCCTTGATGAAAAACTCTGGATGCTATATTTAAAATGTATGCCTAAAATACAGAAAAGATTAGAATAAATATTTCAATTATTTATTTCGTAAATAGATTAATACATTTTGAATAGTAATGAAGATCTAGAGATTATATAGGAATAAATTTAAAAACTTAAATATTGTTTACTTAATTAAGAATAAAATAAAATTATTCATGGATTGGATTTGAATAATTGTATATCTATACTTTAAAAGATATCATAATGGATCTAGGGTAATTAAAATATAAAAGAAATTTGTTTTTTACTTGATGCATATATCAATGATATATCGTCTATTTTTAAAATATCAGAATATTGCAAGAATACTTTGATATTGCAATTTGAAGTCAAAATAGATAAGTTAGTTATTATGAAATTTATTTAATTTTTTTAAGTTATACTTAATTAAATAAGAATAATAATTCTTCTATTGGGAATCTTCATTCACAATAACAAGATTGAAACTATCCTTAAGATGATTGAAGAGACATATAATTATTATAAAAATCTATAAAGATTCAAATCATGCGCATTTAATAGCATAATTATTATAGTACTGCTTAGTAGAGCTTATACAAGTGTATCTTAATCACTTATATAGCGTGAAATTTCATTAATTTTAATTCTCATGTATAGTACATTATCATTATCACTAGAGTTATTTACATTAAAACTAATTTTTTTATTTCCTTAACCAGAACTAGTAATTTATTTATTTAAAAGCAAATATAAGCTGTATTTATTAAATGAATAGAAAATGGGGAATTAATGAGACAATTCAAAAATAATGAAATTTTAATTTATATAATTGTCTTCCAGAATTTTAATTAATTATATTCTTTTTATAATAATCATAAGTTATATCTAATTTATGACAAAAAATTATAGGTATATAATAAAATTAAAATATTATTTATAATTTTATTTTAAAGAATTCTAATAGTAAATCTATTGAATCAATAATAATCAAAAACTTATAGTATAACGTTTAAAGATATCAAAATTAATAAAAATTTGATTAATCTAAAGTAAAGAAGAATTATGATTAAAAACAATCAATTATGAACAAAATTCTCATCTTTATTAAAACAGAGCCAGGTTTCAAATAGTTGGATAAACCTTATTAATGATCTTATTATTAGAAATATATATAAAATATTTGTTTAAATTAAAATTTATAGATGAAAGAATTGATTTTTGAAGCATTCTTTAGAAACTAGATATTCAGTTTTTTAAGAATTAAATGAAAAAGAAAACTATAAAAAAAAAAGGTAAAATCAAGAATAAGTTTTATCCACTCAAAAAGTAACAATAGAAAATCTTAACATATTTCACTTTTTCCAAGAGGATAGAGTAAAGAATTTTTCAATAAAAATGATTAATTCATAAGTAAATCTGAAAGCCTGTGTGGGTGAATTTAATAATTATTTATTTGAATTCTTCTATGGTTTGAGCATATAATTCTTAGAATAAAAGAAAAAAAATCCAATAGAATCAAGAGTCTATGAATATATATAAATGATAATATTCAAATTAGTAGGAATGATCATACAATGTGTTCAAGAATGAGATAATATTTTGATGAACATGATTTACAAATTATCTATAAATATTTCATTAACTATAAATCTAAACCAATAAAAAATATGAATCTGAATATAAGAAAATTTTAACAAGTTACATTCTAAAATTGATTAAGCCGATATATACTTTCATAAATTTTTTAATTTTATGAAAAATTTAAGCATAATTAGAAATAATATTCTTGGGATTTCCAATAGGATATCTGAAAAAAGAAATGAGAAGATTTAATAATATGATGGAAGCACTACAATAATAAAATAATTGATGAAATTGTATCACCAAAACTGATTTTAATAATTCTGTTTAAAAATTTAACATAGTCTATTCAGAAACAAGGACATCAGTTAAATTTAATTTGCCAATAGTTATTATGTAAATTAGTTTGTTTTACTTTTAAATGTAAAATTAACCATGTAAAATTAATTATTAAGAGAAATAGTTAGAGGTCTCACTGAATATATTTCGAAAATCTTATTTTCCAAATACTTTTATACTGTTCATGATGGTGGAGTCAGCATCTACTCATTGAATGTATTAATTAGCTTAAGTATTCTGTTCCTTTTTTTATAAAAACATTGAAAAATTGATTATTTATAGAATGAATAAAACTAATGCCCAAAGTGTTAAATTATTTGTTTTATTAAATTTATATTATCATTTAATGCTGGTTGATAATTATTGTTGGTATTTAATTAGAATATTAAAATTTACCTAGAAAATCTTTATGAATATAAATATTAAAATCAACATAATGCTAATGTTAAAAAAATGTTGTAATTAAGTAAAAATTACCTCATTTCTTTCTGAATATTTTTTAGATCTCCAAATTTTGGATTTCATTCGTTTTATTAAAACCTCATTTTTATTTAAATATCCTATTAATTAAAATGGCTCATGTAATTTCCTTTCTAAAAATACTATTTTTAAAATCGATAATATACGAGAATTGTATAACAGACAATATGGCTGATTGTAGATATACAGACTTTTCAATTGTTGGAATAAATACTGCCACGTTAGAAAGGTGTGGCTCATAACCTTAAAATTTATTTATGGGACCTTATGGATTTTAAACAAGTGTGACCAAGACATTTACAAATATTCCTCCAAATAAAGAATTAGAATTCTCAGTAAATATTTGGAAATTTGACTCTTGGGATTCAGAAGGATTTGAGATCTATGCAAATAATATATTAATAAAAAATTTGATTTTGGGAAATGAGGCTGGTACTTAGATATGCAGAAACAATATATTTCCAGATTTTCTTTAACCATTTTCATAAAAAATGATATTAACAGGAACTGATTTAACGATTAAGTTAAAAGACAATTTAAATTCTGCTAGTTATTATGAAGATCTTTTGGATGGTATAAATTTAATGATTTTTAGAATCTTGGGGATTTAGAGACTTTATTTTGAGACTTTCTGTTCCTTGTGTTAATTTTTATGATGAATGTAACTATACTGGAACATTATTTTAAATATGCTAAGGAGAGTAGTTAAAATTGCAAAATTACATTCCTTTTGAAATTAAATCAATCCTTATGGGTCCTGGTATCATAGTTAAATTGAAAGACAAAAACTATTTTGCAGGAGTATTATAAGAGTTCACTACTTCCTAATCTTGCTTGAATAGTTATAAGGTATTTAATTAACTATTTTCAGTTTCCAAAGGTTCTCTATTCGGAATGAAACTTAATTAAAAGATTTGCTACTAAATTCAATTAGATCTTAACAAAATTTATTTTTTTGTAATATGTATTTAATTTCAAAGATGTCTGCCTACAAATTTTTGAAGTTCTTATCTTTAAAAATTCTTATTTTGTTTGATTTGTTTATTTTCCTTGTTGAAATTAATAGTAATCATAAGTTTTAACAAAATTACTTCTTAAATTAGATCATACAAATTCTCCTACACGTATATCAATTCAAAAATAAATAAACTTTATAAAAAATAATAGTATAATATGTTAATTTATTAATCATTTTTTGATCAAAACTAATTTAACATCTTTCGTGATTAAATTAAATTTAATATTATTAATAATGAATATAATTCTAAAAGGCGATATCCTATTTGCTTGTAAAAGTTACTTAATATAATCTCTGAAATAATTAGATTATCTTTCGTCATCATTTACTAGAATCCCAGACAGCATTATGAATGTTAATAAGAAAATTACTATTATTGTCTTGGTTTCTATAATAGAAATAAGCTATCGAGCTTTAAAGCCTTAAAATTTGTTCCTAGATATATCAAGTTAATATTTTAGAGGCTATTTCAAAGACCTAAAGGCTAAATATTTTAGCTTTTAGGTTTTGGAAGGTGCAAAAATTAACACCTATCATTCTTTGAAGTATGGTTTTCTTAACTTTCCTACTAACGAATATAAATCCTTAACTCAAAAACTGTTAATGCAAATAAATATACCTCAAATTCTATTTCAACTTTCATTTTTAAATATTTACAAAATTAATTTTAACACTTTTTAACATCACCCTTTGAATTAATGATCAAAAAGTATTAATACATAAAGTAATCATAATTATTATAATGAATTAAATTATTTTTATTCATTTTCTGTTATTCTACTTTTAATGATTGATTTTTAAGTTTTTACTTTATTTTTACTCTACTATTAATAAAATTTAATAGTCAATTCTTCTTCCAAAAATAAAGAAAGGGAAATTAGAAAAAATTGTTTTGAGTTTGATTTTTACTATTTACTAACTAATTTTGCCACTTAGTGATAATACTTATTTTCTAATTAATTTATAGATATATTTATATTATATATATTAATGTAGATGTATTTATAATACTTAAAATGCCCTTTTTGTCAATTACACATAGGAGAAGCCAAAACTAGAGCAAAAACAAAAATAAGAGAAAGAGAAGGGGCTGGTGTAAGACTTCTTAAACAATTCATTCTTCTAGTCGATAAAGTTAATAAAAAATATTATTTATATTATTCATCGAGTTATAATGTTGATCATTTAAATGAGTACAATTTCACTCCGTAATAGATTTGAAATAAGTATGTGCGTTTTGAATATTATATGTAATTAGAAAAATTGATGAAGGAATTATAAATTATTTAGGTAGAAATAAAAGGAGGACTGAGTATAAAAATAATGAAGAGTTGAAATGAAAAAAGAAAAAATTAATGAATGATGTAAAATAAGAATGGCTTGTATCGAGTATTGTACTATGTAAAATTGAGGAAGTCATAGAAGTATGAATCAAATTATTTTAGCCAAATGAGAAGATCGATTTTATGTTTTCCATAAGAAAATTATAAACCTACAATTAGATGCTAATTATGAAATATTCTTTTTATTTTTTGTTAAATAATAATCTTATTTTTAACATATCTAT